AAAAGACCATGTTGCCCTCGGCATCGCCACTCGACAGCCATTTTCCGTCGGGCGAGAACCCGATCTGACAAGCGTACCCTGCGACAGAGTGGCCAGCGAACCGCTTTTTCCGGTTTTGGCGGAAATTGTCGGCGTTGTAGATCAGGATTTGATTGTCCAATGATTGCGCGGCAAATACTTTTTCTGTAGCGATGGGTAAGTACCATGTCGGGACCGTACGATGAAAACATACTGTTGGGGTGAAGGGTTACAGCGGGCATGGAATGCATGTAAGGCTCTGCGATATATTTTATAACGACGGGAATATCAAAGTCCCATGCGCGAATGGTCTTGTCATCGGATGTTGTCACAAATCTTCGATTCTCGTCAACAAAGGTGATGGTATTGACGGGACCCAAGTGTTGATCGTATTCTTGTGTTATCTCTCCCGAGTCAATATCGTACTAGAAAGCAGATTAGAGTCGTGTTATCTCTCTTGAGCAAATGGCTTACTTGTATAATTTTCTTGTCTGTCATTCCAGCCAAGAAAATGTTTTGCTTGTCTTCATCGGGATGGAATCGCAAGACATGGGCCATCTTTCCATTGGAAAAGTTTTTCAAACATTTTCCAGTCTCGGTGTCCCACAGTTTTATATATCTGTCGAACCCACAACTCAGGAACCGTCGGCCATCGTTCGAAAAGGTGACATCCTTGACTGCTCTACCATGGCCCAGGAATGTTCGCAGACAGTTACCTTCATTGTATACATCCCATAGCTGCAAAGGATCAGTTGATGCGTCCCAACTTGGACTGAGAGCCATACCTTGACTTTGTTATCCATGCTGCCACTAAGTAAAAGGTGCGACGTATTGGGAAAGAGTCTAATGACGGAAACTCCTGCTGTGTGTCCTGTCCATGTATGAATACAAACTTTTGGAATGAACGTCTCTTGAGAACCAGCCTCCTGAGATAGTTGTGGCGCAACCGAGTAAGGTGGATAAATATATGTACGGCCTTGATAGTCGGTGAGCGATTTGCCGTGGAATATGGTCGATTCGTTTCCCGGTCCAACTTTGGGAACCCTCTTTTTAGATCCACTCGGGGCGATGGCAGTGGGTTCTGGTTCCAGCTCCGGCTCTGCATATTCATCCCATCCTTCAGGCAGTTGAGGAGCTTCATCATCACCTTCCCATTTACCCCATGGTCCTACATATGCACCATCGCCCTCTACGACTTCCAAGTCACCTCGATCCTCGCGCTTGCGCTTCTTGTCTTTTCTAGCAGCCTTGGACGGCCGTAAGGTGTCTAATGTGGCAAAATTATTCTTTTCAGCGGCTTCTACCGAACCTACAAAAGCCTTCGCATTGGGGTCTTCTGACGGGTTCGCTGAATAGCCAAGAATGGCATGGGTCAAATGCTGTTGTCTAAACGCTTGCTCGTCCATCGCCAATTCCTCCACATGACCAGATAGCAAGTTTTGATTCTGAATGGCCTTTCTTTCTGCGAAAGGATTCTCTGGACCGAGTATAGGTTTGAGCATGTCTTCATGTGGTATGTTGACCAGCATTTGTGAATCCGTTGGGCGAGCGACCAACGAGGACTGGTTTACTGGATCCTGTTAATATTTTAACGATCAAATCAAATGAAATTAGCGTTTATAACACGGTCTTACCTCTGATAACACGTCTGGTGCAGCCACTACACTTAATGAAGGACCATCCAGTTTCATACGCTTCGCAGAATTGGTAGCAGACTTTGCAATCCCAAAAGGATTACTTGAGATAGGCTCGTGTTCATCTTCGTTGGAGGAATATCCAGATACCAAGGCCATGGCAGAGATCAAAATAATTTGACCTATGTTTGGCGCAGCAATCACACTTTGACCTAATCACTTACCGACTGGGCGACGTCCCCCCTTCTCTACATTTCACGATCCCTAGAAAAGAAAGAGACACATATTCAACCC